TCAGCTAACTGTGATTATTATTATCATTAGAGTACACTGTATTTCTTATATTTAAAATGAATTTATTTTATATAGATTAAAAAACAGCACCAAATTTTCAATTTTATTTTTTTATTGTGTGTGTTTGTATATACACGTGCACCTGTATGCCAGAAGACAATTCCAGGTAACTTCCATGTTTTCACTTATTGTTTTACAGCATATTGTCTGTATATTCATGTGTGTGTGTGTGTGTGTGTGTGTGTGTGTGTGTGCGCGCGCGCGCGCCACACGTGTAGGTACCCAGTGGAGCTAGAAACTCCCCTAAAACTAGAGTCACAGGAGGTTTTGGGCCACTTGGCGTGGGTACTGGGAGCTGAACTTTGGTCCCCGGGAAGAGCAGCAAAGGCAGTCAACCACTGAGCATCTCCAGCACCAGCTTAGGTTTCCCTTTCGCACTGAGTTGTCTCCAGTTCAAACCCAGCAACTCTCAAGGAACCAGCCAACTGCATTAGGGGATCTCCAGTCAAGTTTGCTCATTACTGCGTAAAATTCTCCACCCAGAGTTTCCATTCTACCATGTTTTTGAAAACGCAATACATGATCTCCAACTGTGCATGCAAGGGAATGAGTCTACCCCCTACATGTGATGACAAGTCTTTCTTATGTGAATCTGTGCGAGTTTCCTTGTAAAAGTGCCGGGCTTTCCTTTGCTCGGAAACACTGTGCTGGAAACAATCTCTCTCTATCTATCTCTCTTTGATCCGATTGGGCAGATTGACTCTGGGCTCCTGAAGGAAAGGAACCCACTGCATTTAGTTGTGTAAACAAGATTCAATCCCAGCCTCCCAAGCTCTATGAACCAGTACTTTGTTCTGTCTTTTTTATTACTCTCAGGACCTCAAAGGAAAATCTAAACTCACTATAAGCCTTCAAGGAGCCTCAACAGTAGGGCAGGCAGAAATCCCAAACAAACCTCAGCTATGTGGCCAACGAAATCTTCAGTGACTTCTCTTGACCCAGCTCGCCTCAGTCCTCTCTAGGTTCCTAGCAGACTGGACTCGGAGTTGTTTCTCACTGGTTGGCTTCTCTGCCTCAAGTGACCTGAAGCTCTCTGCCCCTGCATTCTTCTTCCCCAGGGCTCCTCCCACAAAGGCATCTGTGAGCATTTATTTTGTAGCACGTACTCATCAAACAACTGTATGACCAAGATTTACGTCTGTGTTTCACCCGAGAGAAAGCTGAATGTAAAACGGTTGTGTAAGTTTTCCAGCAGGTGCTAAGCAAAACCAGGTCTGTTGTGAACAAATTTTGCACCAGTTATCTCAAAAAAAAATTTTTTTAATAGCGAGTATTGGGACTCAGAGCTAGTAAGATGGTTCAGAGGTTCAAGGCACTTGTTGCTAAGCCTGGCAACCTAGTTCAATCCGTGGCACCCACATGATGGAAAGATAGAACTGGCTTTTTAAAAAATTTAATTTAACATGTGTCGGTGCTATTCTGTGTGTGTCTGTGCATCACATGTGTGCCTGTCATTATAGAAGACAGAAAGGTGTCCCTGGAACTTGTGAGCCACCATACGAGTACTGGGAATCGAACCCAGGTCCTCTGGAAGAGTAGCCAGTGCTCTTTACCACTGAGCCATCTCTCCAGCTCTGGAAACTGATTTATTCTTCCCAGAGATTGTCCCAGGATACCCCAACCCCATCCCATCCACACCTCTATTCCTTTCTGGGGCTGGAGAATTGTTTGAGCCTCGTCAATCTGGCCCTTGGAGAGCCATGTACTCGTGTGTGGCTCTCCAGCTGTGATATTTTCCCCTGCACACATCTGCACGTTCTTCTCTGGCCAATCTGCCAACTTTCAGTTCATTTCAGGGAACCTTTGGAGGACAGAGGCAAGCCTTTTCTTTTGCCACTGTAACCATTACAAATAAACGAAAAGCCCCACATCCAAGCATGCATTGATGCTTTTAGCAAATGTTCGGCCACCACCACCATTAACAACACAGTAAGTCCCTCACCAGAACCTCCTGGTGCCCCTTTCATGGGCAATCCCTTTTCCAGACCAATGACGAGCTTTCTTATTAACACAGGAAATTCATAAAGTGTGTAGTCTTGTCTTCTGTGTTTGACTTTTTCTGTCAGCTTAATGTCCTTGACATTTATCTCTAATGGTATGGGTGTTAATATTCTGTTCTATTTCATTGCTAAGCAGTGGTCCATGCTATGACAGACTTCAATCATTCATCTTTCCTTGCATTTGTGGCTGTCGGGTTGCTTGCAGTTTGGAGCCAGTCTGAATAATTCTATCATAAATAATTCTTATCTTTGTGCTACTTTTCTTGAATAAATACCAAAGAATGGAGGTCAATTGCAAGGTAACGTGTTTAGCCCGTGTCTACCTTTACAAGAAGCTGCTGTGTTATTTTAGTAGCTGCTTATTTCTGTTTGCTCAATGTTTTCATCTTTCATTTCTTTTTCTTATCTGATTGCATTGGCTAGGACATTCAGTACCACACTCACTAAGCATGTTCTTGATTTTAGATAAATGTCATTGGCAGGTCTGGAGATGTAGCTTGGTGGTAGAGGCAAGCTTGGCATGTACCAGGCTCTGGTTTCCTGGCACTATGGGGGTGGGGTCTACAGATTCTTTACAGATGTTTAAAAACATATACATTTATAGCCTGAAAAAGGCTCTCTCCTTTTCTCCTTCCTTCTTTGCACTTCAAACATTTCAATTTTATTTTCATAATTTTCCTTTTGAGAAAAGACCCGGCTGTGCCGCTCAGGCTCACCCCTGACGTCTGCACTCAAGTGATCCTCAAGAGCTCTCTCTCTCTCTCTCCCCCCTCCTGGTCACCTCCTGTTCCACACACAGCGGCTGCCATTCTACCTTGTTTTGAACCGACAGCAGTGGGGCTACTGAAGCACACACTGAACTGTGTCTATCTAGTTTATCATAGCAGCCAAAAGCTGCCTACCACATCTGGAACCCGGACTATCCTGCTGGGTGTATCATTTACTCTTGGATTTATCCTGTCATTGTTAGGTATGGTGTTCTGTCAATAGCAATCAGGAAGATGACTGTGTTTGTTATGGCTAGGTTTGAGTGTACAATTGTGCAAGTGTGTGTGTGTGTGTGTGTGTGTGCGCGCGCGCGCGCATGTGTGCACATGTACAAGTGTATGTAGGTATCCTCAGAGGTCAGAAAAGAGCACTGGATCCCCTGGAGCTGGAGGTCAGATGGTCGTGAGCCACCCGGAAGAACGGCATCCAGCCTCTCTCCAACACATAACACACATTTTTAACAATTTCCTTGTTAGGGGAAGAACTTCTGTCTTTTCACTTAAAGGAAGCTATTTACCACTTCCTCTTGGCGTATCTGAACCACTAGCGTCACTATTTTGTTCCTGGGGATCACTATAAAGAAAAATAAAGGTAACCTGAGCCCAAACACTGAGACGCTGAAACAGCTGGTCCAGCAACTACATGACTAACGGTGGGTTGAGCAGGCAGCTCCATCCTACATCACCAGGCAGGACAGAGCACGGCGGGATGAGCTTCCATCACGGGACTTAGAACAGGACGGTATGGTATTTAAACCTTTGGATTATTTCTGGAACTTAACATTTGGTAGTTTTAGAGCCTGGTTTATTGTAACTGGAAGTGTAGAAAGTGAAACTTCAGCAAGGGGAGGCCTTTGCTACGGTTTGCTTTTCTGTGGCAGACTTTCGCTTCTTCGTGGCTGCCCTAGAAATTTATATAGGTAGGTAAGTATGTACGTAGGTAGGTACATACATGCATGCATACATACATACACATATACACACATAAATACATAGGTGGAAAAATACCCTTAACTTTGTATATTTTCTTGCAATTAAAATGCATTATTTTCTGTAAAATGTAGACATCTTGGACAAGTCTCAGCCATTAAGGTTTAGAGCATTTGTTGCTGTGTCATGATGATCAGAGTTCAGATCCCAGCACCCACAGCAGCCGGCTCACAGAAACCTGAAACTTCAGCTCCAAGGAATGTGGCACCCTGCTGTGGCCTGCAGGCACCACTGCAGACACACACGTAAAGGAAAGAAAATGCAGAGCTCCTAAGACTACATAGACACACACACACACACACACACTCACACATACCCTCTCTGCCACTTAGAATTGTTACATGTTTACATCTCTATATGTTTTTTTCAAAGATAAAATTTTCATTTGAGGTCAAAATAAGTTCAAAAAATTCTTATGAAGAACCGTAAAGAAAATTTTAATTTCCCCTGGATCTACAAAGATCTTCTTCATAATCAAGCATTGGTTGGGGCTTTGCAGTAGCCCCTCTGCTAGCCCACTAAACTATGAATCCACGGATAAATGAGTCTTTTAGTGTAGTGAGAACTCTCAGGATTCAGTCCCCCCCCCCCGGCTCCACCCCCAACCCTAACCGCCCCCCATGAACATTTCTGTGTTAAGAACCAAACCTTCCACACCTGAGCTTTTCTGGGACACTTTAGATTCAAGCTACAATGCTCATCATAAATGACTCTTCCCTTCAGGTCCCACAGATCAGGTAAGAGAACGCTCTCCCATAATTTACATAAATTCAGAGTACATGGCAACCGGCCTCTCCAGTGCATGCAGTCCTTAACAGATCCATTTCTTCCTTTACGAGTGAAGAATGCAGTCAGGCAGCGCCCGTGACTGCCCTGAGGAGGAAGTCAACCAAGAACCTAGTCCTTCCCTTTCAACTCCTGCAGCCTTGCAGGTTGCTGTCTAGTGTTTAAATGAAATGGAATGAAGCCAGCAAGGAACTTGAACCCGGGCAGTGAGGTGGCTCAACAGGTAAAAGGGGCTTCTTTCAACCTAAGTTCAATGCCCAGAACACACATAGCAGAAAGAGAGAACCCGCTCGTTCCACTCAGCGTCCTCCCTCAACAAAAGTTACTGGCTTCTGGAAAGAGAAAGATAAAGAAAGTCAGACAACTGGCAGAAAATCCAGCATGACAGAACACTTACCCGTCACTGGATTCAGTTCAGGTAGGAAAGGTCAGCTGGGGAAGCGTATCCCGAGTCTATGATGATAACTCCCGAGGGCAAGTCCACACTTTGTTCCTAATTGTATCCTCAACACTTAATGAGTGTTTCAGCCAATGAGGGGGTAAAATTTAATAACTGGAAAACAAAAGAAAATCCAATTGAGCCTGAAGTAATAAACCTTTGAAAACCACCCCTGGGGCTGGGGAGGGGGCCCAGCAGGTAAAGGTGGTCTCTACCACGTCTAGTAACCAACATGAAGCTTTTGCAAGAGATCTCACACCCTAACCCTGACCCTAAAAACTGACGCCTGAAAGTTGCCCTCTGACCTCCACGTGTGCAAACACAATAAATAAGTAAATAAATAAGTCTAACTTTTTTAAAAAAAAAAAAAAGAGAGAGAGAGAGAGAAAGTCAATTATTGTAAAATAGTGGGTGTACCTGGATCTTCCCTTGGGTCCCCACAGCAGCTCCACAAGTCATGAGCCAGTGCTCTGTACAGGTGACTAACGCTCTGTTGCCAATCATCTGAGGAGGGGAACATGTATGATCATGTTGATCACAAATAAAGATACTAAAATGCTTGCTCCTGAGGGAGGCTCTCCAAAGCTCGCACCCCATTAAACACAGGTGGCAAACAGCTTCTTCCTTGGATCCGGAGTCAGGGTGAGGGGAAGGGAGGCAGATGAGCACCTGCTGCGTGCTCGGATTGAGTTTGATCCCAGGGAACAGTGTTGGGAGGTATGGCCTTCAGAAAGCAGTTGAGTCTCAGGAATGGGATTATGTGTCCCTCTGTGTTCTCTTCCTTCTGTCCAATGAGAGAGAAGTTCCTGACCTCCCGAGGAAGCCACCATCTTGGAAGCTGACAGCTGCCCTCTCCAGAGGCCTGTGCCCTAATCTCAGACTTCCCAACAAAGAAACTTCTGTTCTTCAGAAATCACTGGCTTGTGCATCCTATTACGGCAGCCCGGAACAAACACATGGCCCAATAGAACAAGATGTGAACTGTTAGATCTGAGAATAGCGAGGAGAAAGACCAGTTCCACAATTATCCGATTAAATCAAGCTTTATTTAATAGTGGCCAGGAAGGTGGACACTGACCAGGTCCTTACAGGAGTTCCCAGAAAATGACCCCAGTTTAGGTCAGTCAAGTGCTCATAAAGGCAAACCCTCACGAGTGCATGGTACTTCCCACCTTTGTCCAATCAAGGGCACGCATACAACCTGGAGTACTTCCTGCCTACGTGTGCTCAGGCACATCTGCCGCAGCTGGATCGACCAGACAGTTTAGGGAAGTGGAACCTTGTAGGTTGTTATGTGAACAACTGCCTCCCACATCTCCAGAAGTGCCTTTCCTTAGGCAAGTGGGGCTTACAACTTAGCTTTAACCCTGACAGAACCCCAACTCCCTTGGCCAGCTCTGTCTTTATCATGTGGGTTATCAGGGGACACTCAGGTTAGAGTCAAATGAGTCTCGTGTGAAGGTTTTTACAGGCATCGACTGATCGTGTTAGAAGACAGAGCTCAACGAGATCCTGCAGAAGGCCCCGCCTGAGGTTTGCCTGGCAGGGCAGAGCAGTTCTGTCCCATCCCACCCCCTCCCACGCCCAGCCCCACCCCCACCCCCACCCCGCCGCTGATACTTTTGATGCAGTTACATTCTCCTGTGTGAAATGAAGTTCCCAGAAGACAATTTTTTAGCTCACCTGTGCTAAAAATTCTACAAGGCAGTCTGGAATGGTCGTGAAGACGGAGGGCTGGAATGTGGCCGAGATTGTCCCACATGGCAATAACCTGTCTACGTGGTGTTTCCACAAAAGTACTTGAAAAATACCTCGATTTATGACTTTGATTCTCTAATTGTAAAAGCCTCATGAAACTGCTGGTGCCGTATTGAAATGTGGCATTTGGGATAGCTTAAATCTGTGTTTCTGGGCTATGGCCACTCATATTTAACTCCAGAATAAATTCTTCTCTTATTCCCTTTGAGGTAAGAGTTGTTCTTTTTGCAGACTGGGCATGCATGGTGGCGCACACCTTTTGTTCTAGCACTCAGGAGGCAGAAGCAGGCAGATCTCTGAGTTTGAGGCCAGCCTGGTCTACAGAGAGTTTCAGGACGGCCACTCAGCTGACCAGCCCAGCCCCATAGCAAGACATCCCTTCTCTCCATGCATCTGGGCTATTCAGTCTCTCACACAGCTCTAGGACAGCCTTAAAGACAGTGTCCCCAGGACTTAGCACCAAGTCTGCAGTCTTAGTGGCCCAGCATTGGTCTGGTCCTTCGTGATAATAACTGATATCCACTCCTGCACTTTAAGACTGAGTTTCCCTCTCCCAACATGTACTTAGCTCTTGCCAAAAGCATCTGCATCTGGGTCACCAGCACCTCCTCTCCCTTGGTATCTAAGGGCCTCAGTTGCCCTCCAGGAAAGAAGAGATGTATTGGCACACATCCAATGCCTCTCCCGTGCCAGTCACTGGGCCAGGCCCTGGGTCATGTCCTTTTATCTCTCCAGCAGTTGGGAAAGGTTGATGCAATCTCCCATTATTCAGGTGAAAGTTCACACGGTCCTTTGGTTCAGAGACAAGGACATTTCTTAAGGTCATCTGGCTGGAAGAGGACTGATTTGAAGCCTGCTCCATCCAGCCTAAGAGCTTTGGTAGCTCCACGTCCCCGAAGAGTCCCAGTCCACAACTAAGCCTGGGACAGCTTCGAGTCACCCTTCCTGCCACTATGTCAGCCCCGCTTCATCCCTTTCTCCCTTCTGACAGGGTACTGGGGATGGAGCCCAGGACTTTGCGGATGGCAGTCAAGCACTCTGCCAGCTGAGCTATAAACCCAGCCCTATTTTTTCTTTGATGCTGGGGACTAAACACAGGGCCTTCAACGTGCTAAATCCACTAAGCCACAGAGTCCCAGCCCTGCTGAAGGACTTCCCCAGAGATGCTCACCATCATCGGTGCCATGGCTTTGCCATCTCCCCTGACTGTGCCCTCACTTACACACCATGATGCCAGCCTGCCTCTGGAGAGAATCAAACTCTGGGTAGAGGGATCACACTTGAGCTTAAAGGCATCTTGGCCACCGCATAGCTCACACTGCGACCTGCTTCTCCTCTCTCTGAGCCTCTATTTTCTCCTACACAAAGTGCAGTGATGCAAATCTACCTCTTAGGAGCCTCCACAGAAAAGCTCCTTTCTCTGCCTGGGTGTCTGGATGCATTGTTTAAATCTCTTTGTTTCAAAGCTGAGTTTAAAGGCAACCAACCAGAGATGGCACTTGCAGCGGCTGCCACAGATGCTGCTGCTGGGGGAATTTGCATTGCACACAAGATGCGATGTAACAATGTCACTGGGCATTTATGGAAAATGCAGCCGTTCGGCAACAAAGCCTCTGGAAATCAGGGCTGCACTTGGAGGCATCTCCAACAATGCCTCCTTTGGGGAGGGGCCCGGAGACTACCACTGACAACTTCCTTCAGGCCTCATCAATGTTTTTCGTTGTTTAAAGACACACATTAATTTAGAGTCTCCTCCCATTCTCTTCGTAAATTACAGCATTCAGAAGAAGTGGCAGCTGCTGTAATTAAGACACAGTTAATTGCCCGTCTCCTTAATTGCAATGATAGGATTTTGACAGTTTGGTAAATAAGAATTGTTTGGTTTCCTCTGGCAACTTCAGCCTCGGCAGGCTCGCTCCTGCCAGTGCAGTCACCCCAGTTCTGGGACAAAGGGTGCAGTCCGACCCGAGAGAATAGGAGGGTTAGCTAGAAGGTTGATAGACCTCCAGTCTCCTCTCTTGGCCAGAACCTACCCAGCACTGCCTCTTCCACTGGAGGGGTCTCCACATTTCCCAATCATCACATGAGCCTTTTCACTGGAAAGCATAGGAGCATGAAGCTTCCCCTGCAGAACAACCATCTCCTTCGCTAGAGGAAGCCAGAGAACACCCAAAGTCAGGGAGCAAAGCCAGCAACTCAGCCCAACATTTCCCACCCACAGCCTGTCTTGAAGAATGTTCCATGGAGGCAGAGGGACTTTGGGGGTCACAGAAAGGTATGTTCAGAGCTGTATTAGTTAGTGTTTGGTTGCTATGACGAAATGTCTGACATAATAAACTTACCATGGGAAAAGATCATCTTGGCTCACATTGTGGACATTTCCAACTATGGTCAGTTGGCCTATTGCCATGGGACCCATAGCAAGACAGCACATCATGTCAAGATGGGGTAAGAATGGAAGCTTCCACCTCGGGGGCCAAGATGTGAAACAGAAGATCAGATCAGAGTTCCACTGTGCCCCTTACAGGTACACTGCCAACCACCTAGGGCCTCCTAGTCGACCCCAACTCTTAAAGATCCATCACTTCCTAGAACATTAAGCTGGGACCTAGTTCTCAGCACAAGGGCCTTGGATGGCACTTACCAGTCCTTTAACCTTGACTGATGGTGTAAAAGCAAACCAGGGACTGCATGTGTGCAGAGTTCAGCTGCTTCCATAACAAATAGCATTTTAGGAAGAAGTTAAGTTACATTGTATTTCCTTATGTGTGTGAGAGTGTGAAAGTGTGTGCGTGTGTGTGTGTGTGTCTGCACGTGTGTAAGTGTGGAGGTCAGAGGACAACTTGCAGGAGTTGGTTCTCTCCTTCTACCATGTGGATTCCAAGCATCAGACCCAGAGCATCAGACTTGGTGGCAAGCATCTTAACCCTCCAAGACATCTTGCTAGCTCCAAAATTGGATTTTTAGAATGATGATGATGATGATGATGATGATAATAATAGTACCATGTCATGTTTGTTAATAACTGTTCAATAAATGCAAGCAATCTTGTTCCACATTTTACATACATTTCTTGGTATTTTTTTAAATTCATTTCTCTATTTTCATAGACTTAATTTTATGGGAACCATGAACCACATCCCAGACTCCATTTCAGGCGTTTGTAAAGTTTTGCCACTTTCCTGTCACGGCATAAGAAGAAGCCAGGGTAGGAGGGCGCATCACAAACACTGAACCCAATTCTGGGAGCTTCCTAGGAGCATGGGGAAGTATTCACACTCACTGCCTCCCCGAAGAATATGGGGGTGGGGGCTGATGAGGGGCGTGGAAATAACCTTGACAGTAATAAGGACATCACTCTGGTTGTATTGTGACAGCCATGCTATTAGTTGGTCCTGCTTCCCAGTGTTGTGCCCAGTCCGTTGGTACCCCAAAAGGTCACCAGGGAGACCGACTCACTGAAATGCAAAAGCAAGGTTTATTATTGTGTTTGAGTATAAACCGGTAGGGACCTCATCCGTGCAGCAGTGAGAGGAGGTATCCAACCCTTCTAGAGAGCATTATTTAAAGGCAAAAACCAGGAAAGTTACATTAGCAGGGTTTGGGGTGATGGGTTGGCTCATTCCTAGGGATTTTCCACAAGTTTTCATTTCAAACCTCACTCTCACCTGTTGCTTGTCAAGTTTTCTTATCGATTGACCTTCGGGTGGGGACATTCTGTGGTTATCTGTACTTTCCACTGGCTACCCTGTTACTTTTGCCCCTAGCCATTTCTGAGGACTGGGATGCTTTAGGGAAAATAGCTTACATAAGACACAAGACGGAGGCGGAGGACAAAATGGAGGAACTTTGGTTCACCCAGAGGGCACATGGGACTGATAGACTGAAAAAGATGATAGTGACAGTGACCGCGTTTTCATGGGAGTTTCTGCCCTTTCCTAAGTAGAAAACAAGGGAAGAGCTTGTAGAAAATGGCAGAGATTTCCCAATGGCACAATGAGTGAAGGTAGGTAACCAGGAAAGTCCTCAAAAGCAGGTTTACCCCGAAGGTTGGTGGGCTCATCCTACTCAGCACACATGTGGTTTTGGCTCCACAAAGGCAAGATGGAAGCTTGAGTCCAGAGGGAGGCAGTCGCCAAGGAGAGAGAAGTCCTTAAAG